GTCTCTGGGTGGCCCCTCTTGCCTGGGTTCCTGGGTGCTGCCCCAGAGCAGTTCCACCCTGGATCAGAGCAAGATGTGCCTCTGTCTCTCTGTCTCTGGCTGCAGCTTCTCAAACCCAGGGGCTCCAGTTCCGAGAGTCTGAAATCCCTTTTACAATCTGGGCCCTACGATGGGTATTGTGACTTTGGAAGTCAAATGCACTGGGGTCTTATTTGTTTACCCCTGCTTCTCACAGTACTCAATGTACTCACAGTACTCCCCACAGTACTCAAGGAGGGGCCTGCGGACCACTCCTAGTGATAGTTGGCCAACGGGGCTGGTTGGCTTAATGCTCAGGCCTGGAGATGTTGGGCTAGTGGTGCCTGGAGCTTCACAAAGGTTGTGATGTCAACTTGGGTCCCTGTGCATGCAAGGCATAAGGTCCTGAGGGCACTGAGCCACCTCCCGGGCCTCCTGTCTCCCTTTCAAAAATGTTCATTCTACCCTGTTGGCTGGTTCTACTTATCCCCCAGACAATGGGCCAGTGATAATGACATTCTTGACCTTCTTCCTTCCCCAAATAACCATATAGAATTGAACAACGTTTGTCTAGATGGGAACTCCAAAATAGCCATCCCCCATAATTTAGAAATTTGAAGACAGAGGCCCAGAGAGGTGAGGGTGGTCGCCTGGCCCTGGAAGGCAGTCGCTGGCAGTAACCGTGGGACAAACATTAGCTTGACTTCAAGCTGGAACTTCTCGCGGTCCCCTTAGACCTGCTGCTGTTTTCTTTTTCTATTTCTTCTCTTTCTGCTGTTCGCTTCCTTTCCTTGTCTATTGAAAACAATTTTTTCCTGCATAATATTGTCTTCAGCAGGGCAGCTTGTGTCTTGCCAAAGTGGCACTCAGAACCAAGCCCCCCACCCCCACCCCTGCATCTCCAGTGCTTTTGAAAGGCTTTTCCCTTCCAGTCTCTCTTCTCCTCTCAGCCTGTTTTCAGGGACTGTGCCTTCCGGTCCTGGAAGCAGCTCCTACAGCTCCTTTTACTCCAAGTTCAGGAGAGGCCGAGGGAGCCCTCAAAGAACTGGCATTTCTCCCTGAGCTCAGATTTCTGGCCTTAAGAAATGAGAAATGGGGGGTGAGGGGACAGGTGGGTGGCAAAGAGGTAGTACTTTGGCAGTGGGTGTGGGGGGGAGGACACTTGCCTTGAACTTGAGCAACCTGGGTTTGATCCCCAGCATCCCATATGGTTCCTTGAGCCCTGCCAGGAGGGATCCCTGAGCACAGAGCCAGGAGCAAGCCCTGAAGAAGCAAACAAAACAAGGAGCGAGGGGCTCAGAAGTGGCCATATGAAAATGTGTGTGCGTGCATTGTGTGCGTGTGTGCGCGCGCGCGTACGTGTGTGTGTGTGTGTGTGTGTGTGTGTGTGTGTGTACATACCTTGCATGTCTCTCAGCAGTTCCTGGGGGTAGATGGGAAAGTTAATTAGCGCCGGGATGAAAGGTGCTGAGGGATAATTGAAGGTAATATTAGGAGAGCCAGGAGGGTGGGACAAAAGGCCCTCGATCTCCACGGGGTGGATAGCCCCTAGCTCCACTTTCCAACAACCACCAGACACCCGGGGAGGCAGGGGGAGGGAGCACTGGGAGCGAAGGGTCTTTGTCGCTACAGGGAGACACTTGGTAGTTGCTAAGGAACTGGGCTGTCTTTCCTCCTCCCAGCCTCCCGAAGTGCTAAGGTTGGGTGGGGGATGTGGGTTTGGGGCTGTCGGCCTTGTCCCTGGGACTTAAAACTCTGAAGGACCCCTCAACTGGGGAAGGGGCTCCTTCTCATTCCTTTAGGCCCTAATGAGAAGAGCAGGGGAGGTGACGGTAGGGAACGTGAGGTACCACCCATTGGCTGAGCAGCCTGGCATTGGCAGGCACATGCCCGAAATCTGAAATCTCGTTCAACCATTGGAACAGAGCCTCTAGGGGCTCTTGGGCACACTTGTGTTGCCCGAGATCACAGGACTGTCAGGTGACAGAAATAAGTATAATAGGCTTTCTTCCTCTTCCACGGCAGGAAGCGCTAACTCAGCACAAACACCCGAGCCCACCACCATCACCACAGTCATCCCACAACCACCACCACCGTCACGCCAGCCACCACCAGAACCACAATGATCCCATGATCATTACCACCAGCACAACCAGCACCACAGTTATCTCATCACCAGCAGCTCCATCACCCCGGCCGCCACCATAACCACCAGCCACCACCCACTGCCGCCATCACCACCACAACCACAATCATCCCAAACCCACCACCGTGCCACCCCCGGGAATATCTCCCTTTCACCCCCGTCTCTCCCTTCCCCCAGAGCAGTGGGTAAGTTCAGAGAGGGAGAGGCTGAGTCCGTGAAGAGTCCAGGTGGGAGGAGGTGCTGATGGCCTTGAGTCTGTCCTGCCCGATCACACCTGAGACTAGAGAAACTAAGGCGGGGGGGGGGGGGGGGGGGGGGGCGGGGAGATGCCTTGCTTTGGAGACTCTCCTGAAGTTCTTTGGGAACTTCCCGCCTTCTGTCTTGGGCCCACCCCGTTTCTGAGTGCACCGATAGGAAAACTAGAGCGCTGTTTGCATCTGAGCACCGCGGGAGGCTCCTTACCTTACCGGAATCTCTTTCCTCATCTCTCAAATGAGCATAACAACACCCACAACATTAGTTGTTTGACAACTGACTGGGAGACTGTGTGAGGGCCCCCAGGAGGCGGAGGAACGTGCTGAGCGAGATACCACACGAGGCATCTGATATGCAGGCGGGTAGTGTGGTGGAGGGGTCTTGGACTCGCCCCCCACATGCTTTCCAGCTGCTTTCTCGGAGACCACCAAGGGGCCCCACACGCTCCTGTGTGTCCTGGAGGAAGCAGTGACCAGAAAGGGGACTAGAAGGCCCCCGTCTTCCGTGGGAAAGAGCAGCATGGGGGAGGGTTCCCCATGTTATCCTCTCCTCTTGCTACTGTTTCCTGGGCTCCGGGGGCCAGTGCTAGGCCTGGCCACTGCTGCCTGCAGCCTGGGCTGCCACTGGCTTTGCTTTTTTGGTTTTTTTTTTTTGTTTTTGTTTTGGTCTTTTCTCTCCACATTTTAGGGTCCTGGGAGTAGGGGTCTCTCCAACAGTTGAACTAAAATCCCAGAGCACCAGGGGAAAGGAAAGGAGGAGGGGAAAAAAGGAAGGAAAGCAAGCCGATAATTTCCTCGAAGGATAAACATCCGATTTTTTTTCCCTCACCCAAAATAAACATGCTAGCCACAAGGAATTAAAAGCAGAAGAGGGGAGGATGTGTCTCGATTTGGGGCTGCACTAGGAAGCTGACCTGCTATTTAGCACCAATTACACTCCCAGCCTGGTGGGGTGGGGGCTGGGGGCAGGGCCCAAGTGAGCGTGTGAGGCTTGCACACACCCAGAGAGTCCCATGGAGCGACTTTCCAAGACGTGGCCAATGGGGAGTTCCTGCGACTTCCGCTGTTGGCTCTGTTGGCAAGAGAGTCTGTCGGGGGAGAGGGGAGTGGGGTGGTCCCACTTCCTGGGCTGGCATCTGGCTGCCAAGCGGGTGGGGGAGCTCCGCTCTGCAAGCTCAGTCTCCTGCCCATTGTGGGTTACAGATTCCCACCAGGTCTTTGGAGCCACAAAGCCTGTGCTGGACCCTCTGACCCTCTGCTAAAGTTGGCATGGCTCTGCAGAGGTCATAGCCGGTGTGTAGCTGCACAGTGCCTCTTTCGCCTGGGGTTTCTAGGGAGTGGGCACATCTGAGTGGCCAAGGATGGGATAGGGCAGGGGTGTCCTTGATTCTTGGCTGGAATGAAGCCAGGGGACACATTGTGGGGTTGGGGAGAGTTGAAGAGGCACTTCCTGGGGCTTCTTGTGGGGAAAGCTGGGAGACCCACAGAGACCCCAGGCCCCTTTCCTCCCTGATACTGAGGACTTTCTCCTCTCTCCCTCTCTCTCTCCCTCCTTCTCTCCCTCCCTCTCTCTAGCACTCTCTCTCTCCCCCTCCCCCCTCCCCACCCACCCCACCATGTTTGGGCCACACCAAGTGATGCTCATGTCTTACTCCTGACCCTGCACTCAGGAATCACTCCTGGCAGGCTCAGGTGACCATGTGAGATGCTAGGAACTGAGCCCCGGTCGGCCACGTGCAAGGGCCAATGCTCTACCTGCTGTACTGCCATGCTGGTCCCTCTCCCGAGCTTTCTGAAAACATCCATCAGAGGAGGTCTGGTGCCCTCCATCTGTTTATCCTTCAGGGAGCTCCTGTGCCTTCTAGGACCCAGCCTCCAGGTTGGTATACCCCAGCCTTTGCCCACCGGCCTGCCATTCTTGCCCACTGGACACACTGCTCAGCTTTCGTTTCCAGGAAGATGCCGCACGTGGGGCCCCGCCAACTCCAGGAACACAGGGAGGGTGGTCCTCCGGCTGTGGCAGGCTTTCCACTGTTGTGTTTGTCCTACCTACTCTCAGGCTGCCTCGGGGCCTGGTGTGTACCCTTCGGGCCACACAGCCATGTCACCAGGCCCTATTCTGTGTCCGTGATCCTCCTCCAAGTCCTCCCTGTCCGGCGGGGCTGAGCTCCCCAGGTGAACCCCATAGGCTGTCTCCATCCTCATACTTGCCCTCTGGGCCCCCCACCCCACCCCGTGCTGCCCCTGCAGAAAGTCAGGGATGCCTCATGGCTGTGCAGTCAACGGTGCCGGAGCTGGCCTGGAAAGGCGCCCTGCCACCAGCCGACCAGCTTGCTGGCCGCACTCCTGCCCCTCCTCTTCTACCTGCCTCCACTGCCCAGCCCAGTAAGGTGGACTTGAGTGAGGAGGGCCATCTGCTTGAGGTCCAGGAATCCCCCTTTCCCTGCATCCAGGCAAGCCTGGGGACCTGGTACCGCCATCAGTCTATTCCCGCTCCTTGGATTTTTGGAGGAGGGCAGTGAGCAGACAAACACCCCTGGATAGGCCCTGGAGGATTGTCATTTTAATCTGGAAGAGAAGGGAGCCCTCCTGAGCACAGGTGGTGGGCGAGGTGGGCCCTGGCGGAGAGCCCGGGCCATGCCAGGCATTTAATGGAGCTGGTGCTTGAGTTGGCTCTTGTGCTTATGGTCATCGCCTCCTGTGGGGGTCCAGAAGCTTGGAGAGTCCTGGAAATTCTGGGTCATGAACTGGGTGCTTGCTTCAGGATCGCTGAGTTGGTAGCGGTTCAGAAATTCATCCAGTTTCCAAGAGGCTGAAAGGATGAACAGGGCAGGGGTGAGCAGGGTGAGATGGCGTGCTGGGGTGCGGGCGGCAGGTGGCCATCTGGGGCACTCACTGAAGAGGGCACAGTGCCTGGGAAGGTCATAAGGACTGTCTAAGGCATGTGGGTTTCTTGCCCCTGATCCCTTAGCACAACCTTTCTCCTCATTGATGGGCACAAAGGAAATGCCAGCCTGGCAGGTGCCTGCTCCCTACCCCACTCTCTTCTAGACTCTTCTGACCCCATCCCCACAGAGGCCCTCATGGCCCACCACCCTTTCCTGGTGTCCCAGGACACCCCAATCACTGTGCTCTTCTGCCTGGAGCACAGGAACTCTGGTGGGCACCCAAGTCTGGGGAGCCGCAGCCGGGCCCTGGGAGGGAGCACTGCCGAGAACAGTGATCCCCACCTTAAGGGGAGGGGGCACGGGGGCCTGGGGGAAGGTGTACCCAGCAGGCAAGTGTGAACAGGCCTGGTGTCAGGGCAAGGAGGGCACAGCCCGGGGCACTGAGAGCAGCAAGGGAAGTGGTCAGAGGTAGGTTCCCACACTCTCTTTCCCAAACCCCGGGCCTCAGGCACCCTGCCTGGCTGGTTGCCACACAACACACAGGACGCCCAGTGAAATTTGAATTTCAGATAAACAACTGATAGTTTGTTAGTGTAGGTTATGGCCCACATACTGCTCGGAGCATGCTTATCCGAAAAAAATTATATCTTGCTTATCGGAAATTTGACTTAAGTGGAAGCCTACATTACTCTGCCCTTCCCTGCCCACCCCCCACCCTTGTTGTTCTTCTTCTTTTCCTTTTTGTTTTTTCTTCTAAGTCTACAACCTTCCCTGTGTGAAGGGGAGCTCAGGGGAGGCCTGATCTGAATGCCAGAGGTCAGGGGAGGCAGCCACACTTCCTTTGCGATCCACCCACATACCCACTTGTGGTCCTCTGTCTATCTGGCTGTCTGGCTGTCTGTCTGCACCCACTGCTACGCGCATGTGTGTGCATGTGAGGGGTGTGTGTGTGTGTGTGTGTGTGTGTGTGTGTGTGTGTGTGTGTGGTGTTCACACACCTGGCTGCAGAGCAGCTGGAAATCCTGGAAAGGGCTATGACACGTGGGATCACAGGTGGCAGAGGGTGGTGCCTGGTGAATGTGGGGTTCAGAAACCGGTCGCCTGAGCTCTGAGCTTCAGACCCCCAAATAATGCCAACTGATAAAACCTTAAACACCAGGGGTGCTGGAACCCCACTACCACCACCACCACCACATACTATTAAGCTTCGCAAAAGGGGGTGCTACTTTTCTCTCCAGCACACGGATAAGGGGTGTGTGTGTGTGTGTGTGTGTGTGTGTGTGTGTGTCTGTGTGTCTGTGTCTGTGTGTCTGTGTGTGGGGGGGCGGGGGGGCATCTCAAGGGGTCAGGGATGGAGAATGCACTTTCTCAGGGCTCCATCAGTTCCACCACCTGGGGACTGGGTGCCAATGCTCCGTAAATCCTGGAGGAAGAGGCAACATGGGAGGGAACCCTTCCTGGACAGGGACTTACACGGGGCGCATGGGCCTGGCCGAGGCCTCTGCTCTGGGGACTCTGATTCACGGGGAAAGCCTGGTGGGGGCTTGCTCCAGGATGTGGGTGGGAAGAAGGACTGGGTGGGGATGGGGGGGGCTGAGTGGTCACCCCCACTGTGTTTACCCTTGTGGCACAGGACAACGGGCTTCCCCCACATCCCCCATGGGGCAGGAAGGAACCGGGGTGGTGAGGAAGGAATTGAAACTCATCACGAGGTCAGGGCAGGCAGGCGGGAAGAAATCCCCTGCCCCCGAGGCCTCCCTCTCCCCTCTCCTCCGCAGTGGTGACCCCGGAATCAGAACACAGCTCTTGACTGGGCGTGGATGGTCCTGGGGGCTCTGTGGGGCCCCACGTCCAACAACAGCCCTGTGCTTTTTGGGCTTCTCAAACTCAGACCCGGCGTCCGGGGTCCCGGGCACTCGCCACTGGCCTCTCGCTGCTCCTCCCCTGGCTTGGCTGTGACTCCTTACACCCCATTTCCTGCCGCAGAGGGCAGAGGAACTGACCCTGTGCAAGTTCTAGAAGGAAGGGGGTGAGTCAGGCCCTCGGTGGGGAGGGGGGGTATTCAGCGAGGGGGCGCGGGGTGGGGTGCAGGGAGGTTGTGGCTTCCGTGGTCAGCTAAGCCGCACCCCAGAGGGCACTGCTCGTCCCAAGAGGGGCCTGAGAGGGGACCAGATGTCCAGAGTCACCTTTGAGCCTGGCACTCCCTGGACTGCGGGAGTGTTGGGAATGACCCTGGGCTAAGGATAAGCACGATCCACCCTCAGCAACGTGAGTCTGGATGCTGGTTTGGGGGGTGGGGGTGTCTCCCCCACCCCAATGTGCAGATTAGGGTTAAGCAGGTCTCCAGGAGATGGAAAAAGGGAGGCCCCAGCAAATCTAGGCCCCTTCCCTACTCATGTAGGACTTCAGAGAAAGGGGGAGGAGGATGCTTTCTCTTCCAGGATGTCTGGATGTCATTTAAGGGCACAAAAGCTAAAAGTCTTCTCTGCAGGGGGCAGGGTCCTCCCGACTGACAGTTGTTTCCCCCCCCTCCCCCACGCTGGGATTCGCAGCATCCTCAGAACCCACCAGCTTGATAAGACAATGAACACTGGGTTGGCAACAAGTTAGCCCTGGCAGAAGCCTAGGCCTGCAGTGCTCTGTGGGGGTCCTCTGGCTTGCCCTGCTTTGACCCCCCCCTCCCCGGAGGCCCATTCCTGACACCTTCCACAGGACAGGGCTCTGCCCGTCCCTGCTCCACTCACGGACCTGGGCATCTGCAGGTCTGCAGCTGCGTTCCCCTCAGACCTGGCGGTGGGGTTGTTCAGGAGAATACAAGGGGGTCCTGAGCTTTGGGGCGGGCCTCCCCTAGCTGCCTTGTAGACTGGGAGAGGGGGGCGGCATGAAACCCACTGCCCCCCCCCCCCCCCCCAACAGCCCAACAGCAGGCACTATCGGCTCTCATCAGAGGACACTGGCCCTGAAGAAGAAGAAGAAACAAAGCCGGAGCGCCCGCCTTGTTGCTGCCCCCCCAAGGGGCCGGCTCAGGGTGTAATTGGTCGGGCCCTGGGCGGCCGGCGCTGTGATAGAAACGCGGGGCCTTTCTGCTGAGATTAATGATATCCCGGCGGTGGTAGGCGGGAGGCCTGAGCCTTTTCGTTTTTGTGCCATTAAATGACATCCAGAGACTTCCACTCAGGAATGGGAAGTCTCGTTCCATCACATCCAATTACTTCTGGAGAATATTTGCTGAGTGGCTGACCTTGCCCGGCCGGGACAGGGGCTCTGACCTTGGTGGAAGGAGTTCCGGGGTGCTGGGGTGAGCCTGGTCTCCTCTGTGGAGCTGGGGAGTGGCCGTGAGCAGGCCCCCAGGGTGGGTGGGATTGGGGGAAACCTCACTCTAGCCTCTGGCTAGAATCCCAGCTTCCTGTTCAACATTCTGTGGTGGTGTCGGTTGGCAGAGCCCTGGCGGGATGGAACCCGGGGGCCTCTCTGTGGTTCCACCGAGCTCTTGGCCGCTGCAGGCTTGGCCTCCCTGGGACCTGCTTCCACGGGGGCTGCCTGGGGCCTGCGAAGGGTGCAGGCGAGTGCTCGCTGGGCGCCTGTCTGAGAGTTGCCCAGGATGGCCCCACCTGGGCTGCTGCCAGGCCCCCAGTCCTACCCGCTCTGCCAGGTGGGTGGAGCCCCGGGGAGGCAGAAGAGGGCCGCCTGCCACAAGCCCACACAGTGACTCAGGGGCTGGGCCTGGGGGATTCTGGGGCCCGGCCAGGTGAACCACCATGGGAGGTCATGGTGGGGGGCGGGGGGCGGGGGGTGCTGTTTTGCAGTAGGCTGTGTGTTGTTTGTGTCTGTCTGCCTGTGTGTTTGGGGCTAGTCTCCAGGCAGGGCCCCTGCCCTCTCCCTTCCTTTACACGCACGGTGGCCTCCTCCTTGTGGCCATCAGGCCTTCCTTCCTGGCCTCGGCGCTCACGGCTGTAGCTGCTGAACGGCTGCCATGCCTTGGTGCAGGCCTAGAACCTTTTCCCTGCAACGCCCCTTGTCTCCATCTTCCCCAGTGCCCCGCGGGCCTGGAGATGCCACAAGCAAGACCTAAGCTCCACGTGTGGCAAGTCTCTGCCTGCTCCTCCTCCGTGACCCCGGTGGGTGGGCGGCTCAGCTTCGAGCTGCGAGGAGACGGTGGTGGTGGCAGCCGCTCTCTCTGCCTGTCTCATTTTGCCAGCAGTCATTTCTCTGGCTGTCCCCAAGGCCTCCGTGGCACCAGTAATACTGGCACCATCCCGGGCGTGAGGCCTTGGAGTGGCTTCTGGGGCACTTGTCACGTTTCGGGACAGAGAGATTCCCCTTGCCCTCGACACCTCTGGGCAAAGTGACTCAGCTGTGGTGGGCCACATACACAACTCCCGTGCCCCCACGACTTCCCCATGTGGCATATCTGGGCACTTGCTCCCTCATCGTTCCCACATCAGTCTTGTGGTTGTGTTAGGGGAAGAAGGAATGAGGTGAGCTGATGGCAGGGGCAAAGCTCCCTCCCCGCTCCACAAGTCGGAAGAGAATTTGCATGGAACTGTGGGCTCCTGGTCGACCACGGCACTCCCAGTTCTAAGTGGCAGGAATACAGGCTGCCCCTCGACAGAGGGAAAGTTGGGGAGGGGCAGGGCAGACTGAGTGTGTGGAGGAGGGACGGGCACTGAGCTGGGACAAGGAGGAGGTGGACCGGCTGCCTCATCCATCTCTGTCTCTTTGTCTGTCCTGCCGAGGTGTTCAAGGAAGTCAACAAGGAGGTGTGTTTGGGAAGGTGGGGGGTGTGAGAATGTGCAGGTCTGTGCGTGTTGGTGTGTGCGGCTGGTGAACCCACAGGTCTTGTGTGTCCCCTGGGCGAGCATACTCGCTGACTGACCACTACAGGGGACTGGATACAGGGCGGCTGGGGAGGAGGGAAAGGGGACGAAAAGGTGAACTCTTCCCTCTAGGAATTTACAGCCTTCTGGTGGTGGTCGTACGCATAGAGCAACCCAAAGAGACTGAAGCAGATGACTAAGGGGGCACCACAGAAGGTTATGTGAGCGTGAGCGGGATGAGGGCTGAGGGGAGGGAGGCAGCCCGGTGGTGGAAATCTGGAGACCATCATAGAACTGTGTTCTGAAGAGGGGCAGGGGAGAAGAGGCGTGTCAGATGGGCAGATGGCCGGGAGGCCTGAGTGGGTGGGAGGCGCGGTGGCGGGGGGGGGGGGGGGGTTCTTTTCAGACACATCGCTCTCTATGAGCTGCTTCTAGTACAAGGCTTCTGTGAGGAAGTTGCAGGGGTCTTCGGGAATCAAGGACGGGCTGAGAGACCAGATTCTTGGTACTGAGTAGGAAGCTTGGGAGCCTGTTCATCGCACACAGCTGAAGTGATGATGCCCACCCTGAGCTCGGGAAGATAAAATATGGCCTTTGGGACAAACGATGGTGGACTGGGTGAGCCTTGGTCGGAAGGCATCAGCCCGGGCTCTCTCAGCTGAAGGTCCACTTCCTGCTGTCCCCTATTTGGGCTGTTGCTGTTGAGGAGCAAATATTTAAAGCTTCCCTCCTCATTCCCCGTGACACACCCCCATGCCCCCCCCCTCCCCCAGTTACCCATAAAGCTCCTGGTGACACAGACGTGCTGTTTTCTGTCCCCACAGCACTTTGAATGGTGCCGTGTGCCACACTCAGCCCCTAGCATTGTCCATGCTCATGTGCAGGGGTGGGGACAGGGGTGAGTCCCATGGAAGAAGGGCCTGAGAGGAAGGAACCATGCAGCGGCCAGAGTGGAGGTGGGGGGTGAGGGTGGGCTACCTCTCACTCCCTGTCTTGCTTCTGGAAGCCCCGTGTCGAGCTTCATGGGACAAATGGAACCCCTGCCAGTGACTCCTTGCATTCGGCTGGTGGGCACATGCCCAGTGGACGTGGGCAGAGCTTATGAGCTGGGAGAAATGCACCAAACAAAGGTCATTCAAGGGTGAAGCAGCAAGTCCAGTCCCAGTACCTTGCTGATGCTGAAATGCAGAGCCAGGACTGTGAGACGGCCTGTCGGAGGTGGCCTAGTCTGCCCATCTGGGAGCCCAAAGGCCAGCAACGTCCCTGTGGCTGGCCCCCATGATGGTGCCCCAGAGCCTGAGGGCAAAGTAGAATCCTGGACCAGGGCTCAACCTCCAACTCTGAGCCACCCCAGAGGCCCGGATTAAATGAACGTCACCTCATCTGATCTCGTGTTCCTGCAATGCCTATGGCTCACCTCAGTGCCAGAGAGGGCCCAAGCAAAGTCAGCCTGATCCCGATTCATGCTGCTCCTACCCCTCCATTCTCTAGATTCTAGAAGCTCCCACAGCATTTTCAGCTGGGAGCGTGAGGTCACATCATACACATTCCACCAGAGGCCAGGAACTAGAGGTGGTTTCTCCTGGGCCTGGTCCCTGGCCGAGCACCAACCAGGCCCTGGCCATCTGCAGGCCTACAGGCCCACCCAGCCTGGGGCCACACTCGTTCCCCAGCACGTCCAGGTGTGCGGAGAGTGCCAGGCTCGTGGAGCCTGGGCCTTGTGCAATGGCCGCTGCTGCTTTTGCAATCTCTGCCGGGCCCCTCCATGCATCTGACTCCATGCTCACGTGGCCTCCTGCTGCCTTGCTCGGGTCCCTTCTGCCCATCACCCCCGCTTGTCCTCTCTGCATGAAGACTGGCCTCTGTGTGCCCATGGCGGCTTCCCGAGCTTCCCGCCCAGCCTGCTTTCTACAATCTCCTGTTTCCCCCACTTTCTCCTTTCATCTCTGTCTCCATCACTGTCATGGTGCTGTCCCCTGACCAGGGACATTCCAGCCTAATCCTTGCCTCTGTGGTCCCCCCAGCTCAGCTTGTTAGCTTGTTTCCCCCTGCTCCGGAACTCTCTGCTTCAAATTCCCTCCCTTCTCTCTGGCCCAGACCTGCCCCATCTCTGCTGTATAGCCTGGGGGTCAAACAGATTTGTAGATGGTCCAGATTCAAGTTTCCAGATGAGGAAACTGAGGCTGAAGGTGTTTCATTAATTTGCCCCAGCGTCAAATCACTAGATAGTGACTGGAAATCTAGATTATCTTTGCAGAGAAAGACCTGGGACCCTTTCACTGGGTCCCAGGAGAAAGAGGATCATGAGAAAGGCCCGCAACTACTGGAAATCCAAATCCTCTCCAGAGGTCCTTTCAGCCAGAAGCACCCAGTTAAGAGCTTAACTAATTATAGGCTGCACTGCATTGTTATTTAAGTGTTCCCAGAAGAAACGGTAAGCCCCTTGAGGGCAGGGAACATTCTACGCCATGAAACAGTAGCCTTTGCAGAGTCCCAGCACAGAGTTTTGTCACATGGAGCGGATCACATAACTGGAAGCATGATTTTCCTGTCTTCATCTGCTGGAATACCAAAGGGGCTTTGCCTAGGTGCAAGTTCAATTCCTAAATGGTCACCCAGCAGAAGGCAGACCTCGCCACCTCCACAAATGTGACATTGGGGAAGGTCTAACTGGCATGAGTTGAGGGCTTCTGGCCCATGGGGTTCCAAAAGAAGAATGCAAGGGCTGCGGGGTTCCTGGAGGGCTCCCTGGGCTGGATCTCAGAGCCCCAGGCAGTAGCGGACAAGGCAAGCTGGCGAGTGGAGCATGCGACCGCCTCCTTTGGTGGGTGGGAAGGTTTGTACTCCTTCCCCTCCAACCTGCCCAGCCCATAAAAGCACCAACGGTCCTCTGGGGTCTCCGGCCCCCGCGGTGCTCTATGGGATTCTCCTGTGGCTAGCGCAGAGAGGATGGTCCCCAAGCTACAGCAATCCAGTGCCTGGGCTGGTGTGTGTGTGTGTGTGTGTGTGGTGGGGGGTGGTCCTGGGGGTAAAGGGCACCTAAGGAACTGGGGAAGTTGATCTTGGCCTGGGCAAGAGACTTTTTTTCTTCTTCTTTTCTTTTCCTTCTCTCTTTGCATCCCAACTCAAAGGTATGTCTTTGGCAAGGCGGTTGGAACAGATTTTCAGATTGGCACGATGCTGAGGGTACCTGGGGAGGGTTTATCAGTGAAAAGGTTGCACTCACAGCACCTCCAGGGCAGCCTGGAGCCCTCTTGATTGGTGGCTCCTGCTCGGCACATCCCAAGGGCTGGGTTCAGCCAGGGTCTCTCTGGGCTCTGCTGCCTGGGCCCTGGGGCGGCAGGGCTGGTACAATCCCTCCCTCCCTTGCTCCCTTGTGGGTGCAAACAGGTCAGGGTCTCCTGCCTGCCAGTCTGGGGGCGCAGGCATGATCTCTGAGGCTTCCCTCTCCCTCGTTATTTTTGTGTACTCCATATCACCTTCCCTCCAGAAATTCGGGGAGGTTATAGGGTGCATGAGGGTCCTTTATTTCCCATTTTTCCCGAAGAGAAACCAGGGCAGGGTGTGGCCCATCTGGGGCCTGGGAATCCAGGTGGTCACACTCCCCAGATCTGGTAGGACCTGGGCCAAGCTCCCGGGAGCTCTGGACAGTGGGTCCTGCGCCGGGTGCCAGGAGGGCGGCTCTGAGAGCCGAGTGGGGTGGGCAAGGCTGGGAGGTCATTGCCCCACCACTCAGATGGCACCAGGCAGATACAGTGATTAGTGACCAATGAAGACAGACCGGCAGGGTGGCATTCCAGGGCCCTTTCGCCTAGATCAGACTCAATTATAGGGTACAATTACCTGCAAAAGTGGGGTAGCTGCCTACACATGTCACCCGAGGTTGTGGGGAGTAACTGCTCCTTGCCCTGGCACTGTTTACTCCCCTTGGGACCCTGGCCTTGCAGACACCCCCAACCCTCCGTCTGCGGACTGCCTTCTAGGGGTCACCAGCTCACAGGCGGCCTCTCCCCCTGGACATGCCCCAGTTTGTCACGGGGCAACTCTGCCTCGGGCCCACAGCCTCTGAGGAGCACGAGTGGGTGCCCAGGGCTGTCCCTCACATCCCACCCCCTCACCCTGGCTTTGGGGAGGGGGGCACAACTGGCTTACCTCGAGTTTTGTTTTCTTTGGGAAGGAGAGAAATGCTCTTTTCTTTCTGAAGATAGACAAAGAACTGGTAGCGATGGAAGCCGGTTTTTTTCGGCGGAGAGGGAGGCCTGTAGGCTGTGGGTAGGAAAAGGGGGTTCACGTGTCACTAGACCCCCACAGTGGCTCTGGTGGCCACCCTCTGCGTAGCAGTCGGTTTTCTCTGTGGACCTTTTCAGAGACCCCGTGGAAGAGATACTTGGTGGGGGGTGAGGGGGTGGGGTGGGGCATTGGGGGGGCTCTGGCCTTTCTGGGCGGGCACCTTCTGTGACTCTTCCTGCTGAGGCCATCCCGATGCATTTCCCGCCCAAGGAGAAACCCATCTTCCTTGGCGAATGCGTTTGCCAGAGAAATTTCTTTTCTTTTTTTTTTTTCAACATTTCCTTATGAACTCAATCCCTCCAGAAGCCAATTTCTTGGCTGGATCCGGAGGATCTGGAAGTGGTTATGGGGGTGGGTGGGACGCGGTTCAAAGGTTTGAGGATGAAGTGGAGGGTCGGGGTGCTCGGGGCACCGGCGCCCGCGCAGGCTCTTCCGGAGCGGGCACGTCTCCTTTTCCCCTCTCTCTCTCTCTCCTGCGGAGGCCAGCCTCTTTTCTGGGTGAATAGTCGGGCGGGGGGCCCCCGCTGGCCCAGCCCCAGGTCTCTGCAGTGCCCCGTGGTTTTGCTGCTGGCCTGGGCCTCCTTCCAAGGGCCCTGCCCCTTCGCTCTTCCTCTCCCTGACCCAGGAGGACAGCCCTTCTGGTGAAGGCCGGGCAAGCGTGCCCCGGGAGATGCTGGGGATGCAGAGTCGGGCGGTGATGCCACCTCCCTCTCCTGACCCTCAGACAGGAACCATTTGTTGCTGAGAGCTGTTGGACATGTTTCTTAGGGTGCACTTCCGGCCAGAGGGCCGGGGGAATTCCTGATTGCTCGTCTCTCCTGGAGTCTTTGGGTGGCAGTTCAGATGTATGGTGTGCACGTGTGCTTTGAGTGAGTGAGGGCAGCTCAGGGGGTGCTGAGCGGTGAGGGTCAGTGCGGGGGTCGTAGGCCCTGGGCGCTGTGTGCTGGCCGGCAGACTGGTCACCCCGGAGCCTCGGTCAGGGTGTGCGTGTCAGGGTTTGGGGCAGCTGAGAGACGAGATGCACACATAGGGGTCCCTCCTGCGTGAGGGCAGAGGCGCCGGGCCAGCTGTGGGTGCCCTCGTGGGTGGGCGGGCGTCACACTGCGGGACCGGGGACCCACACTGGATTCCATGCGGATGAGGCTGACTGGGCGGAGGCCACTGGGGAGAAGGGCCCCCGCCTTCAGCAGAATCCTTTTCTCTAGGGAGCTTTCCTGAAGACACCCCTCCTCCTCAGGGAGTTAGGACACGCCTGAGGAGACAGGAGGGACACTTCGTGATGGCCACTGCCTGGGGAGGTGGGGTCACCGCTCCTGTGAGGAGGCCCTGGGCAGGGGGACTCTGAGGTGACACATGAGGGGGACTGAAACCAGGCTCCTGGCTCAGCACTGAGCACTCCTTCTGGGTGGGGTCTGAGAGCCAGCAAGGGTGGGAGTGAGGGTGGGAGTGAGGGACGCCAGAACGCACCCCTCAGAGAGGGTCTCACTCACCTGTCAGCTCTTTGCCCCGAATATGCCCTTTCTTCAAGTCCACACCCTGAAAGAGAGACAGGTAGGGTGGTGGTGGGGTCTGTCCTAGGCCACAGGCCCCTGCCCCCTGCAGCTGCCTGGGGCAGCTGGCCCTGAGCTCCTGCCCTCCTAGGAGGAGGAGGAGGAGGAAGAGGAGGAGGAGGAGGAGGAAGAGGAGGAGGAGGAGGAGGAGGAGGAGGAGGAGGAAGAGGAAGGGGAGGAGGAGGAGGAGGGTTCATGGCTTCACCTGGAAGTCTGCCCCCTGACCTCTGGAGGGACCAGATGGACACGTCCCCCCTCCCCATGCCCTGGTCAGCACTGAGGCTGGGTTGTCTGGGACTGGCAGATTCGGGGTCCGGGGCTGCTGGAGCCCCCAGAAGGCCGCCGGGGTGGGGGCAGTCAGGGGGCAGTTTCTGCCTGCTCCTTGGCCCGCTTGGCCTCCAGGACCCAGGCAGATTCTGTGGCTGCTGGGACTGCCTCAGTCTCCCCCTTCTCTTCCTCTCCTCCCTTCTCCCCTCCACTTGGTGTCTGTGGGATAATGAGGCGACCCTGGGGGCGGGTGCTAATTATTGTTTGTGCAGGACGGGGAGATGCTCAGATGAAAGGGACTGGAGACGGGCCCCTGGGTCCGTGCCACAGTTGGGCCCCGGCCATGCCACGGAGCCCTGCGGCCCCTAGAGTGGGGTTTTATAGCCTTAATGATGGTGATTAGCGTGGCTCTCCATTGATTCTGCCAACACCTAACTGTGCCTGGCCACCTTTCCTGCAGCCCTTCCTGTGCAGCCCAGGGTTGGGGGGAGGCTGGAGGGGGCGGGGAAGACGCAGGTGGAGAGCTTGAGATTTCATCCCAAGGAGAATGGAGGGGTAACCCAGCCCTCCTACCACACCCAGACCCCACCCCCTTTTTTCCGGGTCACACCCAGCGATGCTCAGGGGTTCCTCCTGGCTCTGCACTCAGCAATTACTCCTGGTGGTGCTCAGGGGACCAGGATAGGGATGCCAAGGATTGAACTCGGGTCGGCTGCATTCAGAGCAAATGCCCTAACCGCTGTGCTATCGCTCCAGCCCCCTCGCCCCCTTTTCTTGCACCCCGAACTTCCCTGTTAGCCATGGCTTGTCTATGCCTCACTGTCCAGTGCTCTGCCCCCGAGCTCCACCCCAGCCCCGTACCCCACTCTCACAGGGGCCTCTGTGCCCGGGGGTGCCTCGCTGTTGCTCTGGGCTGCCTTGGTTGCCAAGGCGGGCGGATACTGGAGGAAGGAGCCGCGGGTGCACACGTGCTGCTATCCCCTCCTGTGGCTCTCCCTGCCCTGTCCCTGCTTCTGGGCCAGAGACACCCCTCACGCACCCCGGGATCAGGCCTGCCCACATCTGGACTGGCACCAGCATGGATGGCCGGGTGCTGAGATGTGGGGCACCAGGATGGCAGGGGTATTTCGGCGGGCACCCATGTCCCCTAGGGGAGGCTTAAAGGACCCCGTCTGGAGCCACTTTCCCCAGCTCCTCAGGCCTGGGAGGCAGGACTATGCAGGGGGCTTGAGCCAGGGCGCCAGGCTGGGCCCAGGGCTTCGGTCTCTGCCCTCCAGCCTCCTTCCCCTCATTCCTTTCCCAGCCAGCCCCCACCAGACAGCCCCGTGGTTTGTTTAAACACAACAATAGCAACCAAAGCTGGCTGTTTCTTCTCAATTCCCCTGAGGCTGGAGTCCCACCCAGAGTGATAAACAAACCTCTCTCCTGGGCTGGGGCCCTGAGGTCAGGGAGCCGGTCTCTTTCGGTCTCTGCCCAGCCTGGAAAGTCTGATTTGGAGCCCCGATGGGGCAGGAAGGCGCTGCAACCCACCCATCCACCCCCTCACACCCCCACCCCCCTTCGCTTTCATCCCAAGGAGACTTTCTCATCCTCCGGAACCAGCTTGGCAGAGAGGAGGAAACCCTGGGTCCCTCGGGTAAACCCAGTGGCCCTTCCGGCCTGCCTTCCACTGCCGCTACCCTGAGCCCACAGCTGCTGGGAGCTGGACGGGGACCAAGGGCCGCTTCTCTACAGGCTGAGAGTCTCGAGATGGGGTCGCTGGGTATTTCCAGAAGGGAGCTGGGCCTATGGGAGGCTCCCAGGGAGTCCAGACTACAGCCTGGCCTAGGGGTGCCTGCAGGGGAGAAGCACAGACTCCCCCCTCCCCGCCCCCCACACCTGTCCTCAAGCACCAAGAGTTGAGCGGGAAGGACCTGCTGTGGGTGGGTCCCCTCCACCGCCCGCTGCAGCCCCTTAGGGTGCTGGTCCTTTTTGAGATGGTTGAGGGGCACGGGAGGGGAACCTCCTTTCTTGTCCATAGCAAACACGGGCTGACGCTTTCCAAAGGAACTTGTGCAAGTGCTGGGGGTGAGAAAAGACAATGACAGAAATCGCAGGTAGCACAGGGGACCCCTGGGCAGGAGGACCCCTGGTGGGGGCGGGGGGTTCTCAGGGATCCATGCAGGAGTGGCCGAGGTGTGTGGGGGTGAGCTGCGGGCATGTCCCCGTGCTGGGCACCCGCTGACCTGGAAAGGCAGCTGCAGCATCCTCTGGACTTGCACCCCTCACACCCCCAGCCAGCAAGGGGGGGAGGGGAGGGATTGTTCCGGAGGACCCCGAACTCCAAGGCTGTGGGAGCAGGCTGTTTCCTTATGAGGTGGCCCCATGTGTGCATGTGTGTGTGTGCGCACGTGCATGTGTGTGCACATGTGTGTGTGTGCATGTGTGCGTGTACATGAGTCTCACAGTGCTGGGGGTCGCAGCGGGGTGGACAGCCTGGCACAGGGAGAGGTGCCCCTTGCCCTCACTGCAGACAAGGAGAGACCCTGCACATATGGTAGGAATGTCTGGGAACTCAAAGAGTGAGGTTTGCTTCCCAGGGCTCTGCCCTGACAGGGACACTGGCCTGATGATGTTCCTGCTGACAGGCCTCGAATCCCACCAAGAGCCGTGCTGGAGGCCCAGGGACGAGTCTTGCTCCGTGACTGACCATGCCTCGGCATTTCCAGGGCTCCTTCTCCAGCTCACAGGCCCTGCTCCCCACTACAGGAAGGACGGAGCTCAGAACCCCCGTTTGACTGGAGAGAAGAAGCCCAGAGAGGCGGCAGCGGATTAGGATGGGTCATTGGCCCTCTTGGGGCCCTTTCCAGCATTCACAGGGTGAGGAGAGGCGTGGTTGGTGCCTGGCCATCTCAGGTCCTCACCTTCATCAACCCTAGGTCCTCCTTCAACCTGCTTCCTGTAATCTTTTTTGTTTGTTTGTTTTTGTTTTTTGCTTTTTGGGTCACACCCAGTGATGCCCAGGGGTTACTCCTGGCTCTGCACTCAGGAATTACTCCTGGTGGTGCTCGGGGGACCACAGGGGATGCTGGGAATCGAACCTCGGTCGGCTGCATGCAAGGCAAATGATCTACCTGCTGTGCTATCGCTCCAGGCCCTGCTTCCTGTACTCTATGGTCACCTTGGGCCTCCAGCTGAGAGGAAGGGTCACCAGTCCTGCCCCTTGGCCCCTTCATGGGGATGTGTGTCCGTGTCTATGCCACTTCTCCAGGTAGCCATAAGGGGGCTTGCTTGCTCTCCTTCCTTGCCTAGGCCCTTCCCTCTCCTTCAGTCACTCCCTCTCTGGGCTTCCTTGCCTGCCCCTGGAAAACCTGCCACCTTGTTCGAGAGTCCTTGTTGCAGGCTCTGGGTCTGGGGAAACCCAAACAGGCCCAAGAGCTATTTGCGGGTGAAGGAGTGAAGCTAGGACGAGGGTCTGGACGCAGGGCCCTATGTCAGGTGCATCCTCAGGGACCACCTTACTCCTGCCACCGAGACCTGGATCCTTCCATCTCCTGGGCAGGCCCTGGAGTCTCCGACAGAATCAGGCTCTGAGCTATTAAGCCCTTGGGAACTCCAAGCAGAAGAGTCCCCTGGCCGCGTGCCTGTCCCCGTGCTTTCTTGATCGTAGGGGTGTCCAACGCATGTCCCAGCCATCTAGGAAGGCCAGGGTAAGGGCTTCCCACTGACCAGATTGGATTTGTGAGCTCCGGCTGGTGGGAAGGGGCCTGGCTGGGGGAGACCCGAGCAGGGGGGCTGGCCCAGGGTCCTCATTCCAGTTCAATTACCCGCAGGCAGCTGCCCGCCCACCTGGCATTTGGGAAGGCCCCAGGTCCTTGGGGCCCGCTGACCCCCGAGGGCAGGGTCAGCGGCACATTTCCTGGAGCGCCAGGAGATGATTTAATCTCTTCACCCGCCTCTTCCCACTCTGGCGGAGGATTCAATCACTGCTGCGGACTGGCTACGAACCTGGGTCAGAGTGGGATGCTCTAGTGTTTCAGCCGGGGGCGGGGTGGGATGGGGGTGGGGGGCATCCAAGAGTCCGAACTGGAAAGGTGAGGAGCGGGAAGGTAAGGGGAGCAGAGGGAGAACGGGGCAGCATGGCCTTGGGGTGGGGGGTGGAGGGAGAGAGTGAGGGTACCAAGGCACAGACTCTCTGCTTCTGCACAACTGCCTGCGCACAGCTGAGGGGAAAGGATGGAGGAAGACACCCAAGAGCGGAGAATGCCATTTGGGGGGTGTCAAATGGGAGATGCATGCTGAAAGTAGACTATAGACCGAACATGATTGCCACTCAATGCCTCTTTTGCAAACCACAGCACCCAAAAGGAGAGAGAGAACAAAAGGGAATGTCCTGCCACAGAGGCGGGGTGGGATGGGGGGGATGGGGGGGTGGGAGGGATACTGGGATTAGTGGTGGGGCAGAATGGGCACTGGTGGAGGGATGGGTACTCGATCATTGTGTAACTGAAACCAAAGCACAAAAATTTCTAAGTCTACAACTGTACCTCATGGTGTTTCACTAATAAAAAAAATCAAATAAAAATAGTATGAGAAGAATATCCAAAGACAGTGAAAAGAAGGACCCGGAGGGCTGGCTCATGGTAGGAAGCTTGCCATGGTAGGAAGGGGGAGGGGGGAGGCGGTTAGGACAGAGAAGGGACGACTATGACAATGAGAGTTGGAAAGATCATTCGGGAC